CACGCGCTCTGTCTCTCTCTCAAAAATAAACAAACATTAAAAAATTTTTTAAATAAATAAACTGCAAATATCTTAATTCTGACTCAAGAACTTTGCCTTCTCCTTATTATTATGCTGACCACAAATAGTCTTATGTCCTTTGTCATATGTCCTTTGTCCTTCAAGCTTTTAACTATTAGGATTCATTTACTTTTTCTCTACTTTGTTTCAGCTTGGCTTACAAGGCTTAGAAACAATTGAGATAAGTTACAAATTTCAATAGCATTGAAAAGGAAATATGAAAATTTCGGGACAATGAAAACAAAGGGAAGAAAAAATATGATAAATCATACATAAGGATATAAATATGTACAATATTTACTCCTGTACAGTTGTTAAAATTGGTCTGAATTTTCACTTTGAGACCTCTAGAGTCAATGAAGAGAGGAAAACATACTCTATTACAAGATACTCATGATTTTTTTAAAAAAGATCACATCTGGGGCGCCTGGGTGGCGCAGTCGGTTAAGCGTCCGACTTCAGCCAGGTCACGATCTCGCGGTCCGTGAGTTCGAGCCCCGCGTCGGGCTCTGGGCTGATGGCTCGGAGCCTGGAGCCTGTTTCCGATTCTGTGTCTCCCTCTCTCTGCCCCTCCCCCGTTCATGCTCTGTCTCTCTCTGTCCCAAAAATAAATAAACGTTGAAAAAAAAAAATTAAAAAAAAAATAAAAATAAAAAAGATCACATAGGAGAAGGTTTATTGGAATACTGTGACCTGAAAGAGAATTATTTCCATGGATTAAACTAAAAGAACAATATAATGGACTATGTCCTCAACAACCTTCTGTTTATCATAACATCTTTTAATATCTCAGTGTTACAATGCTAAAGTTAAATTTACTATGAATCCACACTATTCCCACTATTTATTTCACAGCCTGGCTGGAACCATGGACGATGTTTAGAAAAGCTAGATTTGTATTTTCCAAACCGTATTCAATAGAACATTCATTTTGCAGGATAATAATAGGTGTTATGTGAATAAAGAGTTCCATGGTCATTGGGAATTGCTAGGATAAAAAAAAAAAACTAAACAAATATTTTTTTATAGGTGTATTTTATTTAAGTTTATTTATTTATTTTGAGGCAGGGAGGGATAGAGGGAAGGAGAGAGTGAGAGAGAGAGAGAGAGAGAGAGAGAGAGAGAGAGAGAGGGAATTCCAAGCAGCCTCCTCACTGTCAACACTGAGCTGGAGGTGGGGCTCGAACTCAGGAACCGTGAGATCATGACCTGAGCTGAAATCAAGAGTCAGATGCCTAACCGACTTAGCTACCGGGTGCCCCTATGGGTATATTCTTTAGCACTCTTACCAGGCATCATTGTCAATATCCAGGAGGGAGTTTTAATGTAGTATTTATACACATTTTCTAAGCTTCAAATCATTTTGAGGGCATCATCTAGTCAGAGTACTGTTTGGAGGAACGTTGCTTGGAAAATAATTTTCCAGAAGAATAAAGGGAATACATAGCATTTAGCTAGCCCCGCATGAAAATAAAAGAAGTTTCTTAAGACACTGAACAGTGGAGTTTAATTTTGCATTTCCACGGGGCAGATGTTCTCTGTTGCTGATGAAAGGTAGGTCAAGATGCTTTGTCAACCAGTATCTGACTGTGGGCTGACATGCCTCAGTAAAAACTAACACAGTCTACAATATGTGCCTGAGTCATACTTGATGGTTCAACTTCGCTCTGATGTAGTACCTTCAGTCAGGGTAAGATTTTCCTTATTTGGATATAGGACATACAGTTTGGTGCTGTAGCGGAGAGTAACCATAGTTTTAATTTGCGTCCTTCAAAGTGACGACACGACACCGGTTGCCTAGTGTAGCCAATAAAAAATAAAATCCAATAAGGTATTGTCAAATGATTCATTTTTAGCAGTGTAACTTTCTTGTGAGCCTTCTAAGGTTGATTAAAAATATATCTTGAGGAAACTGAGTTTACCTATTACATAGAATCGTTAGAAATAAGCCAAATATTGGAAGACCTTCGCTAAAAATGATTAGAGTTTTAGAGAAGCTGCCTTTAATTTTTCTGATAGAAGAAAGATAATTTGTTTTTTTTTCCCCTATTGAAGTTCTGGCAATACAATTCTAAGAGTGCAGAGGCTGCATTTGAGATAAAAGAACAGTAGTAAGTCAACTTCCTTTCAAAAGCACAAGTATTTGCATTCCCTTGAATAGGTTATGACAAAATCATTTCTTTTTTTAAATTTTTTTTTTCAACATTTATTTATTTTTGGGACAGAGAGAGACAGAGCATGAACGGGGGAGGGGCAGAGAGAGAGGGAGACACAGAATCGGAAACAGGCTCCAGGCTCCGAGCCATCAGGCCAGAGCCCGACGCGGGGCTCGAACTCACGGACCGCGAGATCGTGACCTGGCTGAAGTCGGACGCTTAACCGACTGCGCCACCCAGGCGCCCCGACAAAATCATTTCTAATAATAGATGATTTTCTGTTCTTAGTTTGCTGCATTTAAGTGAGTACTTGGAGATAACAAAACCCGATGTGTTAGGTTGCTGGCTGTATAATTTACTAATTACATAATGAAGTCTTACTTGTTTATCAGTTATAATTAAATTTACCATGCATAATCTGTGCTAAAATGAAGAACACTATAAAATGATAATACTGGACTAAATCACCTCCTTAGGTTGGTCATCTAAAATTCTAGAATTTCTATGCCAACACGTCAGCCTTCAGGCTTGGATTTTGAGTTCCTCTTCGCTCAAGGGTTTCATAATTGCCCCCTTGGCTGCTTTGGTTCTTTTAACTAGGAAAAACTTAAATTTGTTATTTATAAATAAAATGTGAAATGACGTTACAAGTTCAGTAGCTGTCCTAAAACTAATTATAAAAACATAAAAAAGCACTGATAAGATTTCTAGGTTCTTCACTGCTCAATATTCTGTACAACTCTAGCAATCTTTGTTTATTAGCACATTAATTCTGGCATTTTTAGAATAAGTTTTGTGGGGAGCACTTGCATGGCTCAGTTCATTAAGTGACTGACTCTTGGTTTCGGCTCAGGTCATGATCTCACTGTCTGTGAGATCAAGCCCCACACCGGGCTCTGCACCGTCAGAGATCCGCTCCCCCCACCCCCCTCTTGCACATGTGCGTGCTTTCTCTCTCTCA